TGTGCAACTTGCTGTAGGTGAACCTGCTTTGGCAGGGGGTTGGACTGGATGATCTCCAGAGGTCCCTTCCAACCCTGACCGTTCTGTGATTCTGTGAAAGTTGGAGTGCCTAGCAGGAGATCTGGTCCTATTTCTTGTATAAATTTCAGCTCATGCCTGGAGTCCTGGATGCAAGTAGGAATGTACCTTAGCTCTGACAGCAGTGAGCTGGCAGCAGAGAAAGGATTATGGGTCCTGGTATAGAGGTCAACTATATTATAAGATCTGTTTCATCCCTCTTTGACATCCCATTCAAAATCAGAAGTTCACCCCAGTTCCCTGAAAGTGGCAGGCATCATAATGACAACCTGGGAAGAGATAAAAATCTGGTAGAAGCTCAGTTTTAAAATCAGTCTGGACATGCTCACACTGTAAGGCTCTGTCCTGTGTTCAGCAGAGTTCTCCAGTTCCCCAAGGATTTTTCCTGTCTTACCTATCTGACAGGCCAGGAGTTATGCCTACTTAACTTAGTGTCTACTAGATAGCAGATTTCACAGATAGGCTTTATGAGAAGCTGCCTCTTGATCTGCTCCGCACCCTTGTCAAACTCTCTGGGACCCCCCAGTCAAGTGAGACAGCTGGTGGCATCTGGAATGACCTGTGAATATCCCAGGCCTCTCTCCTCCAGGGCTGTTCAAGGGTTGGCCCTAAGAAGCTAACCAGGTCTGAAGTAGGATGTCCCACAACCCAGGTCTACAAGATGATCAGCTTCTTGCAGAGACATCAAACAAATATGTTGAAGGCTATCTTAGTTTTTAGGAGAAGACTAAAAGGGAGGCCCTGGACCATGGTTTTATTTCAGTGAGGAAACTGTAAAGCTCAGTGGGTTCTTCTCTCTTGTTTGCCCTCTTCATCACTTCCTCCTCCCCCTGCAGAAGCAGCTTACAGAAAACAGCCGAGATCTCAAGGTTAAACCTTCACCAAAGTGAAGAGCAAGGAGAACCCACATACCTCCATCAAACAAAAGCAAACTGAACCTGGTTTACATGCTAGTACAGATAATTAATCTATATGGTATATTTGCTTACCTTGTCCATATAAACAAAGAACAAAATGAGTAATATCAGCTCTGCCAGGAGAATTATCAGCAAAACGATGAAGAACTAGGACAAAGAAAAAACAGTCAGTGTACATACGCTTGCCAACGAGAGAGCAAACCTGGGGCTGCTAGAAACTCGGAAGACGACAGGCCTTGTCCTCTAAACCTTTCCTTTACTGCCAAAAACATGCAAGTTTGATTTCAAACTGATCAGGCATATTGATACTATATTTCCACTAAAGCTCCTGTAGGTCTTTACACCAATGAGGAAGCTCACTGCCTAGCATTCTCTAAATCTTAGGCTTTGCCCTACTACCAGCTTGCAGGTTTCAGCAACGCTTTTGTCTTGCTTTTTTGTGACTGCTGTCACAGCACGCAGCCCTGGTAGTCTCTTTCCTCCACACAGACTACAGAACAGATGCTAAACCCATTACCACAAAGATCAATGTGACATGCCTCAGGAGTGATTCCCCAGCAGGTGGGCTTTAACCACATCTTTTAACCACATGGAATAGTCATTATACTAATCAGCACTTCTATTCCCAATGCTCTGTAGTTGAAATCTCTCTCTGCAGGGGCATCCCAAGTGTGGGCTCCAGTACTTTCTCACTACTTTCCATGCCCACCAGTTGCCTTTCTGTACTAGTGGACTGCCTCCATAGGCATGGCATCCCCCCCTACAGACACTGGGGGATATGGAGTACGCAGTGCAGTAAGCTCTCCAGTTGGAAACTCAATGATAGTATAAAAAGACTTTTGCAGAACCTTGTAAGGATATAAACACTCTTAAAAAAAAACTCCAAAGCAACCCAACCAAAAATTCAGATGGTGTTGCAGTTTGTGTGGATGAAGGACATAGGCCTCATTACTATTCTCCGTTTGCTTTCCTAGCTGTACAACATACAAAACCAAGCAGCAGATAGGAAAAAACACATGCACAGTTTAATTCTCTGAGGTGGTCCAGGGAATGCTGCCCAGCTATTTCCCGACACCACTTAAAGGAAGACTTGTACACAAGGAAAACTCACATGCTCCTTAATGTCGCAGGACCTGTGATTTATAAGCTGTGACTGAACTGGAAGCTGTCTGCTTTAAGAGCCCTCCTCTCCCCTTCTGCCACAATGCCTCGCTCCTCGGGGTGGGGAGAAGCTTGATGAAGCCTCCCGGGCTTATGCAAGAGGAGTGACCCACATTGTGTTTTCTGAGAGGAGTTCCCAACCTCTGCGCTTCAGTGCTAGACAAAGACTACCAAGAATCAGATTATGGTTTTTTATTGGTAAGGCCTGGCAGAGACCTTAACTTCTTAACTTTGGGTCAGGTGGTTTCCACCAACCTTTGACAAAGGCCTTAGATAAGGGCCAAGTAGAAAATAGCTGTGAGAAGCTTTGAGTGGCATCCGAAAGCAGCCGTGCTTAAGAGTTTTCAGTCAATCCTTCTAACAGACATTTCCAGAAGGGCTGTCCAGGTTCATCGTACAGCTCATGTTTAACCATTCAGAGGTAACGGGTATTAATTTGCTTTGCTATATCTAATACATTAGGGCACACAATAACAAGGGCACATTTGCTAACACACTAACGGTATCACCATAACCAAAGCTGTGGGATGTCATACTGCAAGCATACAGAAAATTGAAAGCCAAGAGCAATGTTACAGTGAGCCACAAGACTATTCTGCATTGGTCGTTTAAAGAAAATAATAACAAAGCAACAGTCACTGGTCCTAGTGAAAAGAAATATTGATGTCTTACACTCAACAGGAGGCACTTGTTTTCCTTGATAGCACCTAGGCAGCCCAGAAAGCCGGTCACCATGATGACTGTGCCAATGGCAATGACTAGGTTGGCAGCTGAAAGTGACGGAAAGCTAGGAGAAAACGTGGCGAAGTTTCCTTGCGACACTGACAGCCAGATGCCCACACCCAGCAGGCCACAGCCACATAACTGCAGAGAGATAAACAAAAGAAAGGTTTCACCATTAAAATAAATGTCACTGTCTCTACCCCCCCCTCCCCACTCTGAAAGGAAAGAATTTCTCAAGCAAATTCTCAGGTAAGTGTTCTGCAGTAAAGCTCTCACTGGCTTGGTGCTGAAACAAAGTGAAACTACATGTTCGTACCTAGACTTGGTCATGTCACCTATACTTATAAATCTAAGATGGCAGAACTCTCTTTTTAAAGACTCAGCACATGAAACGGGGACTACCCATTGATGTCCCAACAGCACAATCCAATGCAATTTTTCTGGAGGAAGACAGAAAACTTTATTTGAAAGAACGCTCCATTGCACTTATTTCTGCAGTCATCTACAATGTCTCAGAGTATCCAGCCCCAAGCTTCCTCATCCTAGAGCAAGCAAGGAAGTCCCAGAGATAATTACAATCAATAATATCATTTCAATAAGTATTTGTCATAAAATGCCCAGTCCCAGTGGCCAGGTTGGGTTTCAGTATGAGTTCCCATAACTTTACTGTTGTTTGCCAGTGTTCAATATAACAAAAATCAGATTTCTAGGTTTATTATCTACAGGAAGCTCAACTTCTGCTCCTCTCCGTCAGTGAGAGAACCTGAAGGAAACGGAAAGCTGCTAATAAAACTTAAAATTAACTTCACTGTGCTTCTCACTCTCAACAATACCATGTCTGGTTAAGGAAATAAGGTTTCCCACCCTAAGTCACGGGGCAGGTCTTCAGAATAACGGCTAAGTGTTGCACTACAGGGGGCCTAAAAGCTGGCCATCTTTTTGTATTTTGCTCCAATTTACTTGGACCACTGCACCAGAAAAACAAAACAGCACCTAATCGTTACTCACAGCGATACCCCAAAGCTGCTGCTGCTCACCTGTCAGCAGTGAGGCACAAGAGGAACGCAAGTTCTTGCCACCTAGTGGGATCGTCACACCCAGCCCACCCCGTTGTGCTCGCATAAACTCACGACTTTTACTCTAACTGGAAACTCAAGATCAGAGAACAGTATCTCCACTAAAATAGGGTTCAATCCTGCCTTGTGATGAGCACTAATTTGGCATGATGAAGAGCTACAGACCTAACTTTTTGGCCACTTCCCTCTGAGGTGATTTTACCAGCAGGTCAGATAGTTCTGGGTACAACTGGCTCCTTTTGGTGTTGCTGCTTCACCGAACACAAAAGAAAAACTAGAATGGTATCTTCTTGCGTTCATGTCACCTTACCATGACATAAGCATGAGTCAGGCTTATGTTTCCATAATCATATGCATGGTTATTTTCTTTTACTTCCCCTGTGACCCTCCTGTCCCCGCTGAGCCCCTTTCCTAGTTTGCTTGAAGCTTTTGAAACTGCTTTGCATCTAGGGAGATTCACCAGTTGGATGAAGACTTGTGACCAGGAGCAGGCCTTACGCAAGATGCTCACAGGCATTCCCACGGGAGGCCGAGTAAAGCACCTCCCAATGTACCGAGTCCACAAGAACAAACGTCATGCAAAGCATAAAAATATAGGGTTGTGTAGGTAGAGAAAGAGAATAAGAGATGGAGATGAACTATACTGCATTGGTGGTTACTTCCAGGCCCCCTTGCACCTAAGCATTAGCTTAGAAATTTGGACAGCCCCCCCCCCCAACTGTCCAAAGCTCACAAGCACATGCATTGGGTAACACAGAGGGAATTTTCCACATTCTTCTAAGGAGGCTGGGAAGCACCCCTGTTTCCAAAACTCAACACGCAATAACGCCACAGAGGGAACTGGGGAGGCTTTGTGTCACTGGGTATGGATAAATGTCACATCATCTATTTCCTATAACAGAGCAACATGAGTGCGTGTCACAGGAAAAAGTCAAACAGCTACTATCCCTACGAAAAGACTGGTACAAAACATACAGACATGCATGTGGCAGGAAAAGACTACAGGATTTTCATCTCTTCCCCAAAATCTTGACGTGATTTTGCATTGCCTTTCATGGTAAGTCAGCAAGGTCAATGTGAACTTAGAGTAGTAGAGAACATGGAAGGGGGGGGCATGCGAAACAGCAATCTCCTGATCATATCCTACCGCAGGACCCAGTGAACACCACCACGGGTTTAAAATGTCTGCCGCTACTATCCCTACGAAAAGACTGGTACAAAACATACAGACATGCATGTGGCAGGAAAAGACTACAGGATTTTCATCTCTTCCCCAAAATCTTGACGTGATTTTGCATTGCCTTTCATGGTAAGTCAGCAAGGTCAATGTGAACTTGGAGTAGTAGAGAACATGGAAGGGGGGGGAATGCGAAACAGCAATCTCCTGATCTCCTGCCGCAGGACCCAGTGGACACCACCACGGGTTTAAACTGTCTGCCGTTCATAGAATCAGTCACCCTACTGCTCCTGCTTTAAATTTCATCTACTCTGTCCTTGAATCGCTGCAGTTTTGGTGCCTCAAGCCCTCCCAGGAATCCACTCTGTGGCTCAGGTGCCGTTAGATGAGAACTGCAGGCAGTTGCTCAGGCTGAGAGCTTGATGGGTCAGGAGATTAGAAGCAGCTCTCACCACACAACATTCATTTAAAGTTTTAAATGGCATTTCTAAGCTGCAAGGGTTGTACACTGCCAATAGCTGATGGCGCTTCAATCGATGACTTCATGACACTCCGTGGATGAGACTGTAAATGTTTCCAAAGAAGTTTCTACCAAAGACTGAAATTGTTCAGTGTAACTTTCCTTCAGAACCTGAATTCAGACTTCAAAGGTTATTCACAAATGTGTTCCTTGGACTTTCATACTCTTATTAGGCTCAGAAATCACAGCCCTAGCTCAAGTGTTTTGAAAGAAGGCATTGAATTCTGGAATCATCAGGCCAAAAGCAATAGATCATTGCAGATAAACAAGGTGGTGGTAAGAGCAAGATCAGGGCAAAAGGCTTACAGAGGAAGGGCAAGTAAAGGACAAAAAGGAGCACGTGCAGTAAGTAGAAAGATCAGCCCACGAAGAGTTGCACCTCAGCATCCAACTCCGATTATGAGGACAGTAGCAAAAGAGGGAGAAGAAAGAAGCCCTTTTCGAAAAAAAAACAACAGCACAATCCTTGAGATTGGGTCTAGAAGAGAAAGGTGGTAGGAAATTGCTATCACACCTCAGCATCCAACTCCGATTATGAGGACAGTAGCAAAAGAGGGAGAAGAAAGAAGCCCTTTTCTTTTGAAAAAAAAAAAACAGCAGCACAATCCTTGACAAGAGATTGGGTCTAGAAGAGAAAGGTGGGTAGGGAATTGCTATAGAAGGCTCATGTTTATGTTTATTTAGAGAAATTTAGAAGCAGCTAATTGCTTAGATGAGGGAAGGGAGAGCTACCTTCAAGTGTAGGAAATCAGGAAAGTGACAGGCCCACTGGTGCTCCATGGGATGGACATGAAGATAGAAAAGGACCAAGAGCAGAAGGAGAACCACAGCTGGAGAGCAGAAAAATGGAGAGATGGCCTCTGTCCCTCTGACAGGGTCTCAGTTCAGGAGTCCCTCTATATACACTTCCATATAAACTTTTTACGTCTCAAAGTAGGATTTCTCCATCCTCAAATGACACTGAAAGTTCAGACTACATAAAAAATCAGGTGATGGAGGGACTATTAAAGACCAAGGCTGATCTATGCAAACAGGATTATCTACAGTGACTGAAGGGAGTAAACAGGAAGACTTGCAAGAGATTTGCTCAAAGACATGACAACCCAAAGCCTTCCACCAGGTGGCATCCCAGACCAAACAGCACTCACAGCTGAAGTCAAATTTCATTTTTCTCCTCTCCAGAGCTCCTCAATTTTTGTGCTTTCTTCCCAGTTTTTATCTCTGTCATTCTGCTGAGTAGCAGTACTGTTGATGCTAAAATTTTTGCTTTAAACCTTAGGTGCCAGGGCAAATGCTTTTTTTCACTCAGGCTTCTTAAAAAAAATCCCAAATAATTCCACTGACTTGGGACTTAATTGCATACAACCATAACCATCAAAGCCAGCCAGAATTACAGTAATAAAACAGCTTTCCCTGACACTCTATTCTCTACCAATCTCATTTTTCATACAACATGAACACTGTAAAAATGGTCTCATAGCTATTTTTTCTCACAGGATCCACCTCTTTCTGTTTGGTACAACTGAATCCTGGAGGGTGAAAGCAGCAAAAATATATCAAGTCATCTAACTAATCCCTTTTTCACCATATAATGAAATAATATATGCTGCTTGGTATTTAATTGCATGAGAGTGATGGCACTGACATTCCTTCCCCAGGGAAATGGTTCAACAGCATAATAAATTTCACTGGATTTTTCTGCTCAAAAAACGTTGGCTTATTTCCCTCTCCTGATTAGAAATTATCATCCTCCAGGCAACCATCAAATCTCTCCTTCCCCTGGTGTTTGTGTCATGAACGTAACTACAGAACGCTATCATAAAGTCAGTCACCTACACAGATACACACGCTCTTACTTATAGGGTAATTTAAGCAAGCTATGGCACACATATTTTGAGCTTGAAAGCAAACTAAAGGAACACTGCCTTTCCTCACAGTTTCTCCCTCACTTTGCTATTTCACCATCAAAGCCTGAATTCTCTTCAGTACCTCAAGACCTATCTGTCATCATCACTGTGCCCAGAAAACACACAGCGTTCGAGGCCACGTTACAAAGAGTCTCAAATGCTTCAAGAGAAATTAGAACTCCAGATAAACCCAGAGAGAGAGAGAGAAACACAAAAGCAAGTATTTCCCTGACAAGTGCTATCATCAGAGTGGGAAAGGGGCTCTTTTATTTTCTGCTGGGTTTTTGAGCACTGTGTGAACTAATACCACAACGCAAACTTTGACAATAGAGCATCACATCAAAGAAGATATAGTAAGAGTTTACAAGACCTAGGGAAGGACAACGCAGATGGTCAGAGGCATGGCAAGACTGACATATTGTACGGAAGGAGGTTGTGCACAGGATTATCTAGCCTGGGAGGAATTATGAGACAGGATCTGAATGAAGTATTCACAACTGTAGAGGTCAGTATGACAACCAAACAGCCTGTCTCTTTAATCTTTTCCAGTAATAGGAACAAGAGGAATACCAGCAAGTCTTATGTAGTATATTTTGCTTCACATAATTGAGAAGTAAACTGATAAATTATGCCACAGGTGATCACAAGAATCAAATATTGTGGCCACAATTGCCAGTAAGGGCCAGATGATTTTATTTATTGGTAACAGCATTTGTAGTTTCTTAGCGTGTACACAAATAACGACATTTCGTGCTTCTCAGAGTAAGAGAATGCATGCAGAATCCAGCAAAACTACCAAGCAGTAAACAAGTTGGGGTAAAGAAGGGGTAGGATATTCCATTCTGGTAAGGTTTATTAACAGAATAATATTGTTAGACTTACCCTTGAAGTAAGTTATTGAACAGCATCAGGAAACAGGAATCTGGTAAGGAAGGCACTACCAAGAGGAAAAGGGATGAGGTCATACTCTTGTTGACTGTTGCTGTCATTCCACTCCATGCACACAAAGTGTGATGGAAAAGCTGCACAACTCGGTGTGTGAGAGAGAAAGAGCAGAGGGAAGATTTATTCCTGACATCAGACTTTCTACTGTTGGTTAAAGACCGAGGGAGCTCTTAACAGACGTGGAATAGAACAGAAACGTATAGAAACCAAATACTGAGAGACAACCACTAGGAACAAAAAGAAGCAGCTTGCATCTCAATTTGTACCTCCACTTTGAATAACATGCCCTGGGCCATCTGTGGCCCAGTTACAGAGAACAGAAAGCTCCCCACCTTCCTCTGTGCTGTGATAAAACAGGCAAACTTGCTTGAAGCAAAGATGATACAATGAAAAATACAAGAACTGCTTAAATATGGCCCCCATAAAAATGGCCAAAACCACAGAAGGTTTGTTACGAGGAATTACTAACAGCATGACTGTGAAAATACGTGTCAATGCTGGGAACTGATTTCAGGACAACTGCAGTGACAAAAAGACACTCTGAATTCAGCTTTGACAGGCCTCTATTTAAACAGTAAGTCAAGAGGGAGATGACCTGCACCAAAAGGACAAGCATGAAGAAGCCATGTGGACAAGCAGAATGCACCACCAAAGCCTAGCACAGAAAGGTTGTTCAGTGTCCAGGTGGCTCTTAAAATCCTCCCTTCTTGTTGGGGTCAGCAACACCTTGGAAAAGCTGCCAGTAATATTTTCCCTGTGTTTGGTAAGTCCTACAAGACAAAGGTTACCTATTTTAGCTCTTCTTTTTAAGATAGAGAGATTTGGCACTACAAAATTAAGGTTTTGTAGATGTGGCGCTTCAAGACATGGTTTAGTGGGTTTAGTGGGCATGGTGGCATCAGGTGTACGGTTGGACTTGATGATCTTTGAGGTCTCTTCCAACCATAATGATTCTATGATTTTCCATC